GTGAGATCTGCACAGGCCGCATAAGTAGAAGAGACCTATCATTTTACCAGGGTAGGTTAATGGAATTCTTTCAATCTATCCCTTTTGTCTAAAAGGAACACATTGCCCAGCAACAAAAGACAATCTTAAAGTAGCAAGTGCAGAAATAAATCATGATCATTTCTTCTGCTAGAGTCATTTATTTGCTCTTTTTTTCTCAGATGGACTGGGCAAAGAGATAATATAGCAAGATATTATGTTATCAGATGTAACATAATGGATTGAAATATAGCAAAAGCACACAATATCCCCAAGGAGGTAGCCAGTTGATTATGATTCTGCTTGCAGTAGAAAACCCATGATTTATTAAGAGTTAGGAGTCATTCTGTCTGGAAGTGGCCTTGTCATGTATCCCGAGATGAAGAAATGAATCATTAAGCTCCTGATTTTGTGAAGGATCCGGACCTCTGCTTTATTCCTTAAATGCCTCATTGACTGGTTTAATCCAGAGGACTTTATCCCAAGTTTGTGATTGTAGGTTCTGTCTCATTTGTTACAGGAATAGAACGTGATGCCTTTTATTAAGTAAAATAAAAAGTTTTAAATAAAAATTTATAGTCCACCTATTGTGCAGTATACTAACAGCTTGCTTTCATTGTTAGTTTCTTTTTTTAAAATTAAGCTGTCCCTGATTTCAGATCACGTTATCTTACACAAGGCTTTATATATTCTAGATTTAACCATTTGTGTTTCTTTTTTGTTAATTGGAATGACTGTATAGGATAAAATGGTACCAAATCATACTTACACTAGCCATCTATGAAGATAGGATGTTGGGTAGCAAAAAGTTGATCCAGCCCCTCTCCCCTGCTCCAACATATGATCTCTGTGCGTTCAGGATCGTGGTATATATAGTTGTTTATGCTTGCATATGCAAGATCTTTACTCTTCTTATTTCAGTTGTTCAGAGCATGGGGCAGGAGATTCAGGCAAAAGTCTTACCAAAATAAATTTGTTCCAATGTTGTGCTTGAGAGCTTTTTAGAAAGGTTTCTATGTTGGGCTGGCCTTCAAAATATTAGCTGTGGGTGAAAGACGTTGGCCTCCATTCCAAGACACCCCTTCCAGGTGATCCTCCAAAGGCTATTCTGAGTAGAGGTTCTTCTCTCTTTGTTATTCAACAGGGAATAGCAATCAGGAATACTGGCATTTCAAGGAACAGAAGGATTGAAATAAAATTAGTAGACAGTTTGGGAAGAAGGGAGCGTATTTCTGTATATTTGAAGATATAGGTTCATTCTTGGAATTAGTATGCTTAAATAACTGACTTGAATTTTTTTTCATTTTTAAATAATTTGTCTGCAATATATATAAACGTTTTTACTGTAACGCAACAGACTCTGTTCATTTAGACACAAGATATATTGTGATATTCAAGGCCTAAGTGTACTATTAAAATTGGATGCAACTGGTATCAGCCTCCTAAGAAATATTAAAAAGCAGAAGTTCTGCACTTCAATATTCTGGACAGTTAATTAACGGCACAATCATTTTACTGCGAGTACCCTATTCAATAAGTTAGGCAGAAATAAATAATGTCACATTATCTCTTCATTGGAAAAAATTCTTGGAGGGTCAATATTGAAAGTTTAGTTTCCCCTTTTAAAGAATTACAAAATCCAATGAAGTTGGGATATATTTGTAATTACGGGGGGGGGGGGGTTACATGTTTACTTGTGTAATTTTTTTTCTTTTATTTTTGCATGTGGTGAACTGTTTATTTTATGAATGTCTGTTTTAAAACGAATAAAAACTATTTTAAAAAAAGAAATAAACAATGGTTTAAAAACAGTTCACTTCTTCAACCAATCAACATAACCACATTAAGGAGACAGAACATGAATTCAAAAAGGATATTAGCACAGTATCTCCTTATACAGATGGTCCTCACTTAATGACCATTCAGCAACCATTCAAACTTACAAGGGAACTGAATGAGGGGGACTTCAAGCCTGTCCTCGTAGTTGCAGCCGTTGCAGCATTCCTGCGGTCACGTGATCACCATTTGTGACCTTCACTGCTGGCTTTCTACAAGCAAAGTCAATGGGGAAGCCGGCAGGAAGACACAAATGGTGACCTCATCACGTCACACTCAATGATATCATGGATTCGCTTAGCAATGGCAACCAGAAGTGCCAGAATTTCTGTTGCTAAGTGGTGCAGTCATGCGACATCGCATTTTACGACGTCGCTTAGCAACAGAAATTCTGTTCTCAATTACCATTAAGTGAGGACTACCTCTACTGAAATATGGAACTATGGAACAGGGCAATTGCACAATTAGAATTCATGACAACTGTTTGACAAGTAATACAATAACCACAATATTAGGACTTATTTTTTATTTACAATGGCTGCTATGCCACTCTGGTGCATGGGACAAAACACAGTATTTTCTGGCATGGATGGAACAGAAGAACTTGGTGACCCAACAGAATTTCTCAACGCATTAGCAAACCAACTTCCCTTCTTTGACATATAATCCCACAGGAGATTTCAGATCTGATGCAACTTACTGCCACAGGCTTCACTTGTTGCCTACGATACCACTGTGCGCTGTAGAAGTTGTGTACAAAACAGTCAGTCTATAAAAACAAGCCAAGACCAAAACATTAATGTAACAAAAGGTCTAAATTCATTTTGGAAGGGGAAAAGGATGACCTAGGCCATATATTACTTGTAGGGGAGAAATTAAAGTGTAGATCCAATCCAGTTTCATGCAAGCAAGACTCCCCTGAAATCTGCCTGCACAACACTGGAGGCCAAAAAGCACAGCCCAGTGTGAGTCATTTCCCGCTTTAATAATTCTCCCAGATCATCTTAATAACCATTCATACTTCACAGGTTATAATTATTTAGGAGAGTTCCAATGATACCAAAGGGCAATTGTCAAACTGTACTTGGTTTTGAATAAATTATTTGTTTCTGCTCCAGATCAGGTTCAAGATGACTTTGGAAGGGGTTTTTCTAGTTTTAAGATGTGTTGACAGCACTTTATTACTATTTGTTACAATTTATGAATATTATTCATATAAAGCTATCAGTGTAGCATGAACTATATTTTATACAGCCAATTAAAAAAAAGGCAAAGCTGTGCCTTAAAGTGCTGAGCGTCTACATTTCAACAGTAGGAGTAAAGCAATGAACTCATGCAGATGCAGTTAAAAAAATTTTTTTTAATCCGTTGAATTGTGTCCAATTCTTGGACAATGCCTGGACAGTCCCTGCGGTTTTCTTGGCAAGGCTTTTCAGAAGTGGTTTGCCACTGCCTCCTTCCCAGGAAAGTGACTGGTCCAAGGTCACCCAGATGGCTTCGTGCCTCAGTGGGACTAGAACTCAGAGTCTCCCAGTTTCTAGCCTGATGCCTTAGTACTCAGCTTCATTTCTACCAGGACTGAAGACCAAGGGACAAAATTAAGAAGCTTACAATTATGGGCGTAAGAGAGAAGACGGGATTGCCAATGCTTTTGCAACTGTTAAATTCCAGAAGCAGCAGCAATTAGGGAAAAATGAGTGGAAATAAAGAGATTATAGGACATTGGCTGAAATACTAAACTTGAGATTTCTAAAACAGGATCAGGCGACCTATGGCGCTTGCTCAAATTCATTCAAGAGCCCAGTGTAACAAATAAGGTCTCTGTTAAGAGCTGGCTACCTGCCCCTTTCCTGCACCGCATTACTTGGAGAGAGAAAAGGGGGGGGGATCAGAAAACGGGCTTCCCCAGTTATTTCTGGCTCTTGCCGCAGCCACCAGGCACCACTCAACAGCTTATCTCTGGGAACGTGGTTCTCAACATCAATGATTCTCCACTTCTGATCTCATGGAGGGGGACAGAGCTGGACAGGAAACGTGGAAAGCCATAGAAACTGAGGCCTTGATAAAATACTTGTGGATGAAGGAAGAGTAGGGAAACACCTAATAAGGGAAGGGAAAAACATATGTTGAATGAAGCTTGGGTGGGGATCTTCTAGCCCTGCAGTCTACTTCTACTTAGCTGTTTTTCATAGAACGGTTGAGAATAGGACAGAGAGGTAAGCTTCAGAATCAAGGCACAGCTATCATAATTTCTATTTAGTTACAGAATGCAGTGTTGCTAGGACTTCATCTGAATTGGTGCTTAATATGATTAAACTCAGAAACTGTTTCAAAAAGCTTGGAGAATTGGCATTTCATCTGAGAACTGAAGTTTCATGTCATTTGCTGCTGGGTTATCATCCTAGCTTCCCTTGGTTAAGTTCACATATCATGGTAAGCTGGGGTTCGTTGAATAAGCTCCAGTGGCCTGATTTACAAACCACAATTCACACAGCACCCTAAGCCAAAAACAAATAAACCCCATTATGGCCAAGGATGATGTAAGAAAATTATGATTGATGATTAACCCAGAGATAGCTTTTCTCCATGATGATCTGAACCTGACCTGGTTTTTCAGGTTTTCCAATGATGCACCATTACCACTGTAACCAAGTCCACCCATCTTGCTGCTGGTCATCCTCTTCTTCAATTTCCTTCCACCTTTCCCAGAATTAGAGCCTTGTCCAGAGGACTGGGTCTTCACATAATGTGTCTGAAGTAGGATAATTTGAAATAAGTGTTCTTCCTCTAATGGAAAGCAGTCTTTAACACGCTAAGAGAATATATTGTTAGAACCATGGCAGGTAGAGAGCAGATAAATGAGAATACCCCTAAATGTTTTGAAGATTAGCAAATTTTTTAGGTCCCATTACATTAGTAGTCAGGAGAACTGTATTGCCTTTTTCCCCACACCAAATTCAATCCCTGAAATTAAGAACGGGCAAAAGAGATTTGGGGATGGAAGGCTGTTTGAGAGCTCCAGTTCTAGGTCTGAAAAAAAAAAACTTACAGGCATCTTTTCTCCTTGGTTCCAGGTCCAGCAAGCAACAGTTGGTGAAACCTTAAATTCTAGAGAAAATCAAAGTAAGCCTGACAAAAGGAAAGGTGTCCACCGTGGTCTAGATGGTGTTCACTATTAAACCAGGACCTCCGGCTTTTCAGGTCCAGCCTTGATTATGATTATGCCTATCACCGAAGCCAGCTGGATGACCTTGGGCCAGTCACTCTCCCTCAGCCCTAGGAAGCGGGCAATGGCAAACCACTTCTGAAATCTTGCCAAGGAAACTGCAGGGACTAGTCCAGGCAGTCGCCAGAAGTCAAAAACTGACTCGAAAGCACACATGCACACTCATGCCATCAAGCTGTTGTCAACTCCATGATGACCTGTCCCTAACCTGTCCTTCAGCTCTTCCAACGGTTGTCCAGCCCTTTTCGTATGTGTGCGCCTCAAGGTCTCCTGGTTTCTAGCCTGGTATCTTAACCACTACACCAAATGGGCTCTCCTGTCCAGTCTTAGCCCATCTCAAACCCCTGGCATGCCTGCACGGGTCACTGCTCCAAGGCTACTCAATGAGATGCCAATGATGGGGAAGCCACACAAGGTTGGCGGTGCGCTGCGGCCCCTGCCCCGCACTGAAGCGTCGCCTAGAGGGAGGAATTGCCTCCTAACGCTTTGCTCCAACCCCTCCTCCACACCATCCCTGCGCTGCCCTTATTCACTGCCCCAATGCCCCCGACCCCTTCCCACCGC